TTTGAAGCATTTGGCTGAAAATGAGCACTAAAAATGCTCCTGTATACCTCTGCATTGATCTTTTTGCTTCCATCAGCAGTGAAATCATCAATAAATGCCAGTGTGCCAGTTCCCGTTGGCAGCGATACTTGCCCAAGCCGTAACGGAATCCCCACCATGTTTGACAGATGAGGTGGTGCTTTGGGTCATGAGCTGTTTCTTTTTTTCTCCACACTTTCCTCTTTCCATCATTTTGATAGAAGTTTATTTTTGTTTCATCAGTCCATTGAACTTTGGTCCAGAACTCTACTGGTTTCTTTTTTGTACCCTTTTGCAAACTGCACTCTGGCCTTTTTGTTTTTGAGGCTTACCAGGGGTATGTATGTTGATGAATTCTCTGAGGCTGTGGTCTTCTCTTGATCGTGCATACATACTGGAGAGTATCTTTGACCTGCTGTGCAGTCATAAAGGGGTTCTTTTACACCACACAAATGATTCTCTGGTCATACAAGACTTGTGATCCTTGGGTAGGCCAAGTCATTTGCAATTAGTTTTCTTGTGAACACCTACTTTTTAAATTGTATACAACTGGTGATTTTTGCAAATCACCTATCTTTGATACGTCTCATAGCTTTATCTTCTTCACCTACTGTACATGGTCACTGACACACAAATCCTCAATCTAAATGGCAAGTCTAACTAAATAGGAGCCAAATGTGAGTCCTTTTATGTGTGTGTGTGTGTGTGTGTGTGTGTGTGTGTGTGTGTGTGTGTGTTAAGCTGAAATGATCCATGCAACATTTTGTTACTATGTGTTAAAATTGTGACACTGTACAGTGTTTGTTAAAAGGACAACTGTACATCTTATACACAATTGATTCTATACCAACTAAATAACTAACTATATTAACTCAAATTAAAGCTGGGACTTGGCACTTCAGTGTTGTAGCCATTATTATGTTTGTTTTGTTTATTTTAATTGAATGTGCTACAGCACAGAGCCTGGAGAATACAACATGTGACTGTCCAAGTACATTGAACATATGTTGTCACTGACCCTTGCCCTCTGTTGTTCAATCAAGGTGAGCTGTTCCTGCTCTTTCAGCTTTGTCTGGGTGACACTGTGCTGGGCTGCAACTTGGGTCGCCTCTTCCTTGGCCTTTTCCCATTGCTCATCATTGTCAGTGATCTTCTGGAGCATCTGCTTCTTCTCTTCACGCATCTGCTTCACTGCTTTCTCGCTAACAAAAAAAAAAAAAAAAAATCAAAGTAATGATAAACACACATTAGTAGTAGACAATATCCAATAAAGGATACTGTATGTTTGTCCACTGTTATGTCCTTGTACCTCTTAGAAATCTTTGTCTTGAAGTCTTCTAAATTCTGTTCATACACCATGTTTTCTTTATGGAGCAATGCAAAAGTATTACGTTTTGTATGGAGCTGCTCTTCTATGCAGGAAACCTCTGCTTCTCTATTAAGTTTCTGTGGATAATACACAATAACATACAGTACACTACTGGCTGCATGTATCAAAAACATCTTACCATGGATTCAAACATTAATAAAATGCACACAGTTCCAGTGAAGTGTAACCTTGGCAGCTGAATGCTATTCTCTCCACCCAATGCACAATGAAGACACACATACAGTAAGGAGCACCAACGTTATGAAAAGATGTCCACTAAATGAGTTTTTGACTTTGTTTTTAAACTATCATGATAGTACTTACAGTTTTCTCAATGTCTTCCTGTAATGCACTGAGTTTCTTTTTTAATTTCTTATTCTTTTGTACTTCATCCTCAAATCGAAGTTTCAGTTGCAAACTCTGTAATAAAAGGTGGAAAACACAAATGTAACCAAATTTGTGTACTGCTGAAAAGTACCTTTTTTTGAAACGTAAATAAATAAATATGGTAACATCTGTTACCTGGTCCTTTTCAGTTTTCTCAAGCTCCATCATTTCAGGGATATGCTGTGTAATGGCTTCACACTTTTCTTCTGTAAGAGCAACCACCTTTTCAGCATCCTTTATTTGAGCATATAGACCTTCATCATACACCTTTAAATTATTTACAGCTTCCCTGGAGAAAAAAAACACTTTTAAAAACACTGGATTAAAGTTTGGAAACACATGGTGACTTACCCTGCATTATATGATAACATTTTGCTCATGATAACAGTATAGAGCCTCGGCCAACGCGGGGCCTTTCTGTGCAGAGTAAATGACTGAGTAAATGCGGACTAGAAATTGAGTTGAGCTTTTCAGATATTAAGGAAAGTTGTCTCCTGTCTCTGTTGTGCTGCTTTGATGGTGAAACTGCTTGTTTGTTTTCACTACAGTTAGGATAGATACTCACAGTCTCTTAGCCAGCTGGGCCTTTGTTTCAAACAGTTCTGAGTCCTGAGATTTCTGTTCAGTGTTGGCATCCAGCTTAAATTTTTGAAACTCTTTCTGTGCCATTTTAAGATCACTTTGTGTCTTTGAGTATTCTTCATCAGCCTGAAAAAGAAGGGTAAGATCATGGTCTTATTATTTTCCTTAAGTTACTTTATTTATATTAAAGACAAAATGATTACTCAAAACATATTCTGTAGAAGCTAGATATTCTGAATCCCATACCTACAGCTGTTTACTCCTACAAGCCAGCTGTGTGCACTAAAAAGACTTTTACATCTTTTGTTAGCTTTAGCAAGTCTTAGAAAATCCAGACAGCCCCCAAGGCTATCTTATTAACCCTGGCTTTCAGTAGGTCTGGAGTTAAAGACTCCCACTTTAACATCAGAGCCAGGGTTATCATCTTTAGAACACTCACAGCCTTGTGACTTGTTGAGTTATAATTAAAAAAAAATTGTTTTAGCAAAGTCAGTCTGGTGTTTTATTTAGCAAGCATTTAATTTCAGGTCAAGGTTTGCTTGTTGCATTTTTTGATTCCTATGTTTGTTATACATCTCTTTTCTCCTCTTTGGTACAGATTTATATATAGTATTTGTGTGTACACATTACATTGGAATAGGCTGGAAATGGTCATTCGATTTTGATGCATCCTGTCATAAACTAAAGAAATGCAAAAACAGAAAAGCTAAATAATAAGTCAGGGAATTACCTACGTTATTAGAATTCATCTCCGGGGACCATAAATATCTCTACCACATTTAATGCCAGTCAAGTCATTTGGATAAATAGAGCAATTTTACTCCAAAGTCTTGTGTGGACACTGGACCAACAGACCAACAAACATTGCAGTCCCTAGTGTCATGCTACTTATGGATGAAAAATAGAGTTGAGTGAGTGGAAGAGTGAGATAAAGTTAGTGTGGAAGATGGAAGTAGTCTGAAACTGAAAAATATTTTGTGCTTATTTTATTGTGGTTACATGCTGATGTATAAAAAGCACCTCAACTTGCGCAGTGTTGATTTGATTTATGATGTCTCTCTGGAAGTCCAGGTTTTCTTTCACAATGGGGATTTGTTTTTTGGCAAAGCTGATGTCCTCATGTAAGCGTTGGTTCAACACCTCAGTGTGTGACAACTTCTCCTGGTTCTGCTGAAGTTTCTGCCTTTCCAGTTTTAGCTGCCACTTCAGTTCAGTGTTGTCTCTGATGCAAGCCTCATGCTCTAATAAAGCAACAGTGATTTAGAAAGGTTATTGTAATGTGGGACATACTAGAATCACAATACCTCATGAGTAACAGATCTCCGAAAACCCGATAAAGCATTCTTTAATCAATTACCTTTTTGGACAACAAACGAATGTTCTTGTTTCTTCCAGAGTGAAATACTGTCAATTTTGCTCTCCAGAAATCTTTTTCTTGTCTTCTCTTTCTGGATAGCTTCCTCTGCATACTGGCGATCAGCCTCCAGCTGCTCAATCAGATACACCACCTCTCCAAGGACATCATTTATTTTCTTCAGTAGTGGCGATAATGGACAACTTTCTGGGGGATGGAACACTTTAAGCGACTGGCCTACTGTGTTGTAAGCTTTATAAACAAAAGCATAAACAAATCAATACATTTTCAGAAATGCATTCATATTCTAACCAATTGTAACATATAGATTAACATAAACCTGGAGAGCAATTTTAACAGCATTTGTGAATAGTGGATGGTATCCAATTAGTTATTATTGAGACAAAAGATGTGAACCACTAACTGGGGCTCTGTTACTGTCACACTGATGTGACCACTGCTGTGAAGAATGATACAAAAAATTAGAGCTTCTCCACTGACACTTTTGTATTGCTATATCTGGTGTTTTATTTAGCAAGCATTTAATTTCAGGTCAAGGTTTGCTTGTTGCATTTTTTGATTCCTCTGTTTGTTATACATCTCTTTTCTCCTCTTTGGTACAGATTTATATATAGTATTTGTGTGTACACATTACATTGGAATAGGCTGGAAATGGTCATTCGATTTTGATGCATCCTGTCATAAACTAAAGAAATGCAAAAACAGAAAAGCTAAATAATAAGTCAGGGAATTACCTACGTTATTAGAATTCATCTCCGGGGACCATAAATATCTCTACCACATTTAATGCCAGTCAAGTCATTTGGATAAATAGAGCAATTTTACTCCAAAGTCTTGTGTGGACACTGGACCAACAGACCAACAAACATTGCAGTCCCTAGTGTCATGCTACTTATGGATGAAAAATAGAGTTGAGTGAGTGGAAGAGTGAGATAAAGTTAGTGTGGAAGATGGAAGTAGTCTGAAACTGAAAAATATTTTGTGCTTATTTTATTGTGGTTACATGCTGATGTATAAAAAGCACCTCAACTTGCGCAGTGTTGATTTGATTTATGATGTCTCTCTGGAAGTCCAGGTTTTCTTTCACAATGGGGATTTGTTTTTTGGCAAAGCTGATGTCCTCATGTAAGCGTTGGTTCAACACCTCAGTGTGTGACAACTTCTCCTGGTTCTGCTGAAGTTTCTGCCTTTCCAGTTTTAGCTGCCACTTCAGTTCAGTGTTGTCTCTGATGCAAGCCTCATGCTCTAATAAAGCAACAGTGATTTAGAAAGGTTATTGTAATGTGGGACATACTAGAATCACAATACCTCATGAGTAACAGATCTCCGAAAACCCGATAAAGCATTCTTTAATCAATTACCTTTTTGGACAACAAACGAATGTTCTTGTTTCTTCCAGAGTGAAATACTGTCAATTTTGCTCTCCAGAAATCTTTTTCTTGTCTTCTCTTTCTGGATAGCTTCCTCTGCATACTGGCGATCAGCCTCCAGCTGCTCAATCAGATACACCACCTCTCCAAGGACATCATTTATTTTCTTCAGTAGTGGCGATAATGGACAACTTTCTGGGGGATGGAACACTTTAAGCGACTGGCCTACTGTGTTGTAAGCTTTATAAACAAAAGCATAAACAAATCAATACATTTTCAGAAATGCATTCATATTCTAACCAATTGTAACATATAGATTAACATAAACCTGGAGAGCAATTTTAACAGCATTTGTGAATAGTGGATGGTATCCAATTAGTTATTATTGAGACAAAAGATGTGAACCACTAACTGGGGCTCTGTTACTGTCACACTGATGTGACCACTGCTGTGAAGAATGATACAAAAAATTAGAGCTTCTCCACTGACACTTTTGTATTGCTATATATTCTAGGCAGTGGGGCCAGTGCTTTTTTATGGCACAACTAAAATTATGAGAAAATATTTCAGAAATAAGTTCATGATACAGTATTTAGAAAAATGTGTTCACCTCTAGGACAAATTGCGATGCCTTCCACAAACAACTCAGTCACTGATTCTGTATCTGAATCTCTGGGCTCAAGTCTGTTACAGAGTGAAAGTTGTGTCAGATTTTTATGTCATACTTAATATAACAAAAAGAAACAGGCAATGAAAACAGTAAAAGACATCACCTCAAAGTTTTGCTGCATTTCTTGTCCTGATCAGTCTGTGACTGACATTTTTCAGACGAGTATAGGACAAAAGTAAAAACAAAAACTTGTGAATTTACTCATTTCTGGACAATTGCCTTACAGTGGGTTTGATCAAGTCTGACATCAGTTTACCTGTTGACACCATTGTTCCACAGTCTTCCTCAGCTCTTGGATATGGTAAACAGCCTTGTTGACACATGGTGAGGGACTGTTGAGCAAAACACAAGGGCGACGTCTACCAGTGCAGGCAAACTGAAAATCTGCTTGATCTTTAGAAACAAACAAACAAACAAAATATCTCGATCTGTAAATCCAACTTGAAATTACAGTAAGTATCACAAAAAGCAATTGCTTTCAGAGAATTAATGAAAATTCAACCTTAACTAGAGTTTTTCTTTACATAATGACACAAAGATCCTAAAATATTTTATAAATAGCACACTGATGAACCATCTCTCAGTGGAAAAAGTCATTAAACAACAATCAATTTACTTTATTTTGAAAAGTAATTACAAAATTGTATTTGACTGTGAAAGGTATTCTGTGATTCCTTACTTTCTCTTTGCTTTTTGTCACACTGATTCTGCAATGTTTTAGAAGCATCAGTGAAAAGGGCAGAGAGACTAACTTGAGCATCTCAAGACAAACCCAAGGACACAATTCTTAGTGGTAAAAGAGCGCCATCTGGCGGAACAAAAGGAGGAAAGTACACTAGTGGTGCACATGAATGTCTGAGAAATATTGACTTTTGCAGAAGTCTTGTTTATATTGTAGTAACAAAGATATGTCATTCTCATTTACAAGTAAATGTAACCTTTAGGCATTAGTAAAAAATATTGAAGCCTAAATTCATGTTAATGAAACATAATTTTTTTAAATTGAATCACTTCAACTTCAGTCACACTAACTGTTAGTGTGACTGGATCACATTGGATCATAAATAATATATACAGTATGGCCTGACCATTAAAAAGAATTTGTGAAACAGCACTGTCTTTCACAGTCACTGAAATTCATTTCCGTACACGTGAAACTGCCATTTGGCTCATTGTGCCCAACGCTATGTCACTGAGGTAATCTCACATAAATTTCTCAAATATATTATGTAAATTCTAATATATGACTAAGTAGATTAAAAGGTAGGAAATAACCACCAGTATTACTGGGAAGAAAGATCCAGTTTTTAAAATGAGAGTGAAATTAGGTTTTTCCAGTTCTGAACTACTGAAAATACTATGCACAGATGTACATTTTATTATGAATTCTCAGTCATCTGTGTTAAACTGCAAGCTGCAGTGTAGCAGGTAAGATGGAGGTAATGATTCTTTTCCTGTGAGGTCCACAAGAGGGAGAGCTGTTCATAGAATGCAATATATTTCAATTAATTTGACTTAATGTGTTTCATTTTCAAGTATTGTATTTTCAGGGGCAACATTTAGCTTTCTTTGCACAAATGCAGAGAATATACTGTTAACACTACAATGACCAATAATTTTGACAGATTCACAAAATTTTACATTAATTTGGTCAATGTCTTGTGTTATTTAAAAAACAAAATGCTGTATATATATCCTGAAATCTTGCCTAGGTTTAATATAAATTTTACAATCAAGGTCAATTATTAATGCTTATTAATTATGGAATGCTTTTGAGAGTAGTGCTAACTATTTGGGGCTTTTATTTTAAGTAAATACATAAAGCCAGGAATGTACTAAGTCATGTACTGGCCAAATGGCAATTAATGGGTCCTCAAACATGCATAAATGATTTTGATCAATAAGTTTAAAAACAATATATGGGGTTTTCATTTATTATTGTTATAGTTTTTTGGGGACCTTTGTTTTCCTGAGCCTGACCAATCCAGGCCCAAACTCCTTTTAGCATCTGTGAGTGCTTACTCGACTTTGCAGGATGCTGACGAACACCTGGATTCAAGGCACACTTCAATATATGCTACTAAAGGGAAGGCCAAGTGAATATAAGAGTATTTTCAAATGTCACAGGTCATGGTGTGATGGACACTACCTAATGTTTCTATATCTATTTTGCCAAATATGCCAAAATCTTGACATTTGGTACTGCCTGGCAGTTTTTAAGGACACACAGTATGAAGTAGATAATAGGTTCCTTCATTACAGTTTCCTGTCAACTGTGCTCAGTAAGACAGGTCACTGCAGGTAGAATGGCTAGTGAGTGAACCAATACAAACATTGTGGGACAAATGGAAGAGAGACTTGAAATGAAGGCCATGTGTTGCAGTATATAAGCTGAATTAGCTCATCATACTTGTGCATTACAGTCACAGAGCAGGCCCATGTGAGTCTGAGGGCCAATCAGATGCCATTTAGCCAGTGATATCAAACATTAGATTGGTACATTTCTTCAGCATCAACAAATATGATTACATTTACTCACACTTATTCACTTTTTCTTTATTCACACTATTCACTTATTCATCTTTATAACTCTGTGTTGTGCACATGCTCAAGCAGTGGCTACATTCCATATAACAAGCCACTATATTAAAACAGACCATTTTGTTTCGTTTACCATAAACAAACATAGTGTTTAGTAAATTAAAATGTACTTTAGTGATGTAGCCAGGGTTTGTGTGAAGTTAGAGGAAGTCCTGCCATGAAACCGAGGCCCGATGCGCAGTTAAAAATAATAACATTAACTTAATACATTAGTTAACTACAACAGTAGCGACACGTCAACTAGAGTTAACTTAATCGCCTCACCTTGTTGACTAGGTCGTCCTTCCCTTGATGGGAATCTGAGGGGTTCAACATCTGGCATTGCTGCAACTTCCGAATGGAATATCACTTTTCAAGCCAGTTTTCAGCCTGCGGAAAAGTACACCCAATTACTGAGCGTTCAACAATAACCCTATATCCTATTAACTAAGGTCAAATATTTAGCTAAATAGAAAACTATGTAGCAATGCTATTCATTTTAAGTTAGATATCACAGTGGATACTGGCAGCCTATAAAAAGTTTGGTTAACTAGCTAAAGATGCAACTGATATCTCCACTCATTTCCGGATGTGGCTATCTTAGCTAAGTTGCCGTTTAGGCCTAATTAACTCGGCTAATGATAAATTAATGAGCTGGGGGGGTCGTTGTCATGACAGAAAGACAATGCGAAAAATGGCTGGATATCAACTTGCTTGGCTGCCAGCAATCTGTTAGTTATCTTTGAGTTTGTTATTATTCTTTACCGCAACCTTCCTTTAAAAATTCACCTTTTATTGAAGTTTTCTCCGAATGAGTCCCTGAAGTTGCTGTCAATCTTCTGTGGATGTTGCTTAGCAACAAGGGGCTGCGCTTGGAGCAAGTAAGTTGCGTTCAAGAACAGCAGTAAATATTTGTGTGCTTGAGGCGTTTGCTGCTCGTGCAACGTGGAAATAGCCACATTTTGACAAGGAATAGAATAGAGCGGACATATAAGATAATACAGATCCCCTATCTCACAAGAGTGGTGAGACTAAATGCATATGGGCTTATTTGGAATTCAGTAGCCTAACTTTTAGTAATGCTAGACCCACTGAGATATTTATGTATTATAGGTAAACACATGCAAACTGAACAGAACACATTTAGTATGAAGAGTCGTGGAAGAAGTATTCAGATACATTAGGCTACCTAAGTAAAAGTAGCAATACCGCTCTTTGAAATAGTCCATTAGGCTACAAGTAAAAGTCCTGCCTTCAAGAGCTTAAAGCATGTAAAGTATTATCAGAAAAATACGCAGTATGCAGAAAAAATGATCCTGTCAATGTTATACTATTATTAGTAGTATTAGCGTATATTAGGCTATGTTAAATACTGTTGCATTCCTGGGTATGTTGCATTTACTGTAGTTATTTAAGGTTGCCCTACCTTATTTGCTTTATTGTATGGGCCACTGAATCTACATCAGTGCCTCATATATGGTTATCATATAATTAAAGATATGTAGTTTTTACTTAACAACATGCTTTAAAAACTTGTAAACTGAAAATGAAATAATAACTATAGCTGCCAGACAAAACTAGTGGAGTAAAAAGTAGACTACAATATTTTCTTCTGAAATGGCCAATTGATGTATTATCATAAAATTCTCAAGTAAAGTACACCTTAAATACAGTGGAATGTCTTCAGTAACACTCCACCATTAAGGCTATACGTTACAGTATTTTTGTTTAATAGTTTCAGCCATAGATCATATTTATTTATTTATTTTAATTCACGAAGATTTAGGCTACTAAAAGAACAATTGTTTGCATGACGTCATCCTCCTAAACCCTAAAACAAGAACAACGCTTGAATTAGCAATCTGCATCATGTTTATGGGACCATGTCTGTGAAAATATATAACCTACGTTTCTTATTCCCATTGTTTTCCCTTTTTGTATCAAACTTTAACAATTTGCACACCGACGCAAGTGAAGAGATTCCGCATTACGTCATCGTGAAGGCCACATACAGGAGGTGAACGCTGCCTGTGTTCAGCTCAGCCAGTGCGCTACCCGAAAATTTCCACAACACGAGCTTTGCAGGAGAGCGGCGCGAGAACGGCCGCTTCGTGCAGTGATGCAGCGTCCTACACCAAAGAAACCCTGATCGCATCGCAGGACAAGACCGGTCGTCATATTCCCGGATGGAAAACTGATGTTGCATGACATGCCTCGAAATAAATTTTGGTAAGTCTTGTGCAAGTGCGCTGCTGCAGCTGCTGGAGGCTGGCAGGCAGCAGAGGAGCGACCTTATCCTACTTTGTCACTCTGGGTGAAACGAGTTTCCCGATCAAGTTTCAGCGACAAAAGCGTCAATTTGCGACAATAAAAACACAGGAAGGGAGTCGTATGTGCAGGTAGCTATTTGCAGGATGTAACAGTGAGACCTTTGTCTGTCGTCTACGCAGGTGTCTATAGCATGACAGGTGATGCATGAGCTGAACACATACCATAAGGTGCCTGTTGCCTGTCTCACTGCCCTGTTACTTTTGGTCAGTGTTGCTGTGGTGGAGTTGTAAATAAAAAAAAAAATGCTTTTTCTTGTCTAGAGGGCAAGCTGACACTGTCTATGACTGTCTAGTGCATCTCTTTTCAAGCTTCTGATTAAAATGCAAATATGATTCAGTGTTGATTATCACATCACACACTGCAATTCCACTTATTCCTGCGCATTTCCACTATTTTTGTGACTTAACAGAATTTACCGTTTTTTGTTTGTGCAAAGAAATCATTAACATTCTTGTAAGCAAAATCAGTGCACCAGCAACTTTAAATTTGTAGTAACATGGGGTTTCCAAAGTTTTGGCCTTTTTGCAGCTGAAACCATGGTGACCATCAGCAGGCGACAGAGAGCAGAGTGCCCTCCAGCAGACATCACTGGCTGGTACCAGAGAGGAAGAGAGAACTGTTTCACTACCTACACACCATTTGCCACACCACTAAAGCACAACAACTGATTAACCTTAAGTTAATTGCGCAAGTTTTTTTAAATTCCTGTCAGGCGATTGGATTCAGATGCCAGCGTTTTTTATAGTCTCATGCTATAAAAATAACTCTGGCCAGTCACTGGCAACAGCTGCAATGTACTGTACTGAGGCAACCAAACACAGATTTCTCTGTAATGCTTGTATTTGAAAATGCTGCATGACAGTCTGTTCCAAGTACATCAAGATAGACATAAATTAATCACACTGTCCCCTGTATTTTATTGAATTGCTACAGAAATAGACTCATAATGTAAATAACTGTCTAATAAGGTTGTTTTTTTTTCTGGCCTAAAATACAGTGAGTCATTAGTGTGAAACTCTTGGTTTGGTTTTGGCAGTGCTTACCCCTACCAGTCTGTCTGCAGTGTTAATGGTGAACAATGATTTGCTCTTTTATGGGGAATTATTTTCTAATGCTGCCAGTGAGACGGTGCCACGGAGAGAGAGTAATGTTTGTTGGGCAGATGCCAAGAATGAGGTTTGGGGTCTGCAACTAGAGAGCCGGTAAAGCTGTACAAGAATGTAGAGCGTTCTCATTTGTAGTTAAAGATAGAGGCAGCATGGGCTGTATCGTTACTGACAGTTTCAAATTTCAAATATCTTTAGGCGGGCCCATCCATTTGAACTGCTTGTTGTTGTTGTTGTTCCTTGTTAGAAAGGAGTTTGTGTTGTGGACAGCTGTTTATAGAAGGAGCACTTAGCTCAGACAGGGGAAAGGAATACAGTCATGGTGCTTGATGAAAGGTATGTTGATCATCTTGTTCCCCTCACCGTTGTATCATTTGTATTGGCTGTGCTGGTTTAATATCGGCTCTAGCAATAGATTGTATCAGTCTCAACAGACCACAGAAGGTCACGTAGCTGGCACTCAGGATGGGTTTTGCTTGTGACGAGCAAAAGGATTCCAATGAACCAAGACTGTTAAATAGTGTCTACTTTTGCTTGTTTACATTCATTCACTCTGTAAGTGATGAATGAGCTCACATATCCACTACTTATATGATGTGAATACATCTAAAACTGCTATTTACTATTGTAGATACATTCATCATTGCCTTAAAATATGAAACACCCATTTATTATTTTTGATATTACAGGGCAGTCATTTGCACCATTGCTTTAATGCTAAAATGCAGATGTTCTGTTCTGTCTTGTCAGGATAATATGCCATAAATAATTAGTTATTACCATTTTTTTGAGTAGCTCGCTGTGCTGGGAGGTGAGTTCCTGAAATGCTGTCCTAAGATTACCTTATTAGCTTACTTGTTTCCTCTTAAACTGAATTTCAAAGATTCCTTGAACTCTATAATTTACTGAAATCAAATAGCAAAACAAAAAAAGTATGCAGTTGTTTGCTTTTTAACACAAGGTGAATACAAAGTTATGCACCATGGCTCTCTGCAGCATAATATTTGGGTCTACCAATTACTGCCAAAGTAATTTGAAATAACATGCCTGAATGATTGTCTGGCAGAAAAAGTGTTTTTGAGTCACTCGCCCAGGAAGTGTCACTGTGCTCTCAGCTATCATCCTATCAAGTGTTATCTTATATAAGATATTTACTAGTGCACAAAACTTTTCTCTGCAAATTTTGCTTGTCTGCAGTGGGCGGTGTAGTATGTGTGTGCGTGTTGGGGGGGTTGCAAGCGTTATGTTTTTACGAATGGAGTGGCTGGGATCTTTGCTACCATGGCAACAAACCACATGACTAGGTGTATTAGATTGCCTCGGACAGTGTGCAGTGAGGCATGGTGTGTGCATTCTTTGTGCCGCTTTCCCCTTTGAAAGTCTTGTCCTTGTCTTACTTAAGGCACCCCCACAACCCCCTTTCATTTTGTTTTTTTTTTTTCAGGGTAGACTCAGTGAGAGGCAATCCTTTTTACAGGGAACACCCTAATCACATTCACACAGTTACACACACACACTCATACTTGGCAGCTGCCTACAACTGCTATGGTCTGACCTGCTGGCCACTGAGCTGTCATCAAAATGGTCAGCAACTGACAAAAAATAAGAAGCAGTTGTTATTTACCTCTGTCTGAAATTAAGGGCTCATTATTTGAAAAACAAAAAAAACTTTGCTCTGTGAGAACATAGAGGTTTAGGTGCAGTAGTGTAGCAACAGTGAGGGGGCCGGGCTCAGAGCAGCCACATGCCACACATTGGACTCGTAGTCTTTGGGGCTCCAGATAGTTGCCCACTTTGCCCAGTTGATAATCCAACCTTGGTCATTACTTGCCACTATGACATTAGTTAATTGTAATTATATTAACAGTAATAATTTGATGTAAAATAAAATGACACTGTCAAGTAACTTAATGTCATTACAGTATTTCTAGTATGTTAACTAAGTGCTGAGTGTGTTAGAGATCTATTTTACAAAGCAATGCTTTGTGATGCTTCTGAAAATACAGTCCAGTTTAGTAGTTAATTTAGACAGAGTAAAGCTGAAAACAATAAGAAAAGTGTTTGAACAGTGCCTTAACTGTAACCGTTTAAAAGTTGAGAATGCACAAGTTCTGACATTACTGTCTGTCTTCCTGACCAGAATGACTGAAGACTGCAGGCGGAGCGCTGACAACATGGCGGATAGAAGGCAGCTGTTTGTCGAGATGAGTAAGTGCTCAGGGCCACAGCTCAGTGTGATCTACGTTGGACTGTTTTACTCACTGACCACTAAAATGGCAAATTATCATTTGTAACTTTTATGTACTGCAAATATCATGGAGATCAAGTGTTGAATGTTAAGCACTGACAGACATGATATTGTAAAATAAACATACTTTGGACATAAAAATACATCGTGAGAACTCTGATATCATAAAAAAAAAAATCACCTCACTTACTGTGAAAGGAGGGAACAGCTAAGAAAAGTTATAATAAAAGGCTAGATATATTTCCTTAGTGCCATTATATTTAATATTGAACAGTTTAGCCTCCATATGTTCTAATTCTTCCTCAGGAACTCAAGATTTGGATTCAATACGATTATCAACATACAGAACAGCCTGCAAACTCAGATTTGTGCAAAAGAAATGCAATTGTGAGTATAAAGCAGTTTACTTTTAACTACATCACTAAGGTTTCCCCTAAAATTTCTCAAACAATTATCCCCAAAAATGTTTATATGTTGTTTGTGTTTCTGCTTCCCAGTGCATTTGGTTGACATTTGGAATGTCATTGAGGCTTTCAGAGAGAATAGCCTCAACACCATGGAGCTCAACGGTGAGCTCTCTGTGGCTCGTCTAGAAGTGGTACTGTCCACCGTTTTATACCAGCTGAACAAGCGCATGCCCACCACCAACCAGATCAACGTAGAGCAGTCCATCAGCCTGCTGCTCAACTTCCTGCTGGCAGCCTATGACCCGTGAGTAACACGTCACATGACGGTCAGCAGCCAGTTGTGTACCTCCACATCTGTGCTTTTGACATGAGCTAGTGTAGCGTAAACTGTAACTCTGAAGTGTCTGGCAGAGTGGATTGAAAATATGCCTTAATATTGTCACAACGTGCTACAATAGAGTGCATATTTATTTTTGAAGGTAAAGCTAAGTTACACATTTTTTAAGATAATGATCACTGGTAATTCAAGTTTACCTTTAAACGTCTGTGCCTTTTACAAAGAATCTATGATCATAATGTAAACATTTTTTGCTCCTTTGAGGGAGGGCCATGGCAAAATATCTGTCTTTGTTGTGAAGATAGCCCTAGCAACCATCTGTGGAGGGAAGATTCAGGATAAATTAAGATGTAAGTAAAACAACAAATCCTTAATTTACTTTTAATTGTGAAAAATGAAATTAAAATCTCCCATTTTATTTATAATAAATCATCCAATTGTATCTGTAAAGTAGTCTAAGTAATGCTCTGCTTCATTCGAGGATGGGGTTTGTTACATTATCTGTAAAATCTGTGGGAGCAGTGGCCGTAACCCTTGAAGGAAAAAATGATGGTTTGGTTGCTGGTGCATTGCAATAACTAATTTGAATAACTGCTTTATACTTTGATTTGTTTTCACAAATAAGTGAGATAATTGTATTGTGTAATGCTGTAATTAGCTGAGTGTGGTGGCAACCGACAATTAGTTTGATTTATTTGTATGTCTTCTCACGTTGTTCCCAGATATTTTTTCACACATATCAGATTCAGCTGGAATAATGGTGCACTCACAGTTTGACCAATTTCTGAGGGAGGTACTCAAATTACCGATGGCAGTTTTTGAGGGACCTTCTTTCGGTTACACAGAACAAGCTGCAAGAACTTGCTTTGCGCAGCAGGTAAGCATCTATTAACCACACAGTGTAATATCAAATAAATCTGTGATTGTTTTAGCATTGATGTTGTGGGTGGATCTCACTCCTTTCTGTAACGAACGTCAATAGAAAAAGGTCTCCCTCAACACATTCCTGGATACGTTGATGTCAGACCTGCCCCCTCAGTGTCTGGTGTGGTTACCGCTCATGCATCGGCTCGCCAATGTGGAGAACGGTAAGACGCTATGCGGAATATTTATAAACAAGAAAGCTAGCAGGGCTGGGAGGATGTAAAGTTCAGCTTTGCATCATAATCTTGAGTCACCACACACACAATCAGTCAAGCAGATATAAACCATGAAACACACAAACACACGCCTCCAGTGAAGATGACCCATAGGGACCTTACACCCTGTGCATGTGTGTGTTCACGATGCGCTCATCATCGCAGGCCACCTTCATGTGAGCACGAGAAGCAGTCTAACCTGTGTACACACTATGCAGCTAGATGCTGTATTGATTTGTGTGTGCTGTGTTTATTTTAAATGAAATGATTGTTGTCATCCAAACAGACCCAAAATCTTAGCACATCCGTGCTTAAATTAATTGAAATTAATCCTCCACTAAATGCAATGTGCAAAATATTCTGGTTTACTGTCACATCTAATTGTGTGCATGTGTTTGTGCATCTCTGTGTGTTTGTGTGTCTGACCACTCCCCTCCTCCCTGCAGTCTTTCACCCGGTCGAGTGCTCCTACTGCCATACTGAGAGTATGATGGGCTTCCGCTACCGCTGCCAGCAATGTCATAATTACCAGCTCTGTCAGGACTGCTTCTGGAGGGGGCATGCCAGTGGTTCCCATAGCAACCAGCACCAAATGAAGGAGTATACGTCATGGGTAAGGGAAGGAGAGGGGAGGAGGAGAGAGGGAGGGCTGAGGGAGGTGTGTCTCTCCACTGGACCAGTGATTGTGGCTATTTTTGCTCTGCTTCATCACAGTGAGAGGATGCTTTAAGGTCCAGGTGATATAATTGCTATAATGATGCCATGTGTTTTGAAAAGGTACCAGTGTACTCCTGTCCTCAGGACTGGCACCTCACTTCTGTGTTTCTCCCAGAAATCGCCCGCTAAAAAGTTATCCCAAGCGCTCAGTAAGTCACTGAGCTGTGCATCCAGCAGAGAGCCTCTTCACCCCTTGTTTCCTGAAATCCCAGAGAAACCCCTCAACCTAGCTCATATTGTGTAAGTTCATCTCCTTTCGTTTATATTTCTTTGTAATTCAGAAACAGAGAAAATAAATCTAGTTCTTCGGTTCTATTAGGTTCAGACTCTCTCATGTCTATTTCAGAGTTTGAAATGTTTGGTTTCATCCCTCAGCTGATAATTATCCTGTTGCTGCCTCTAAATCTGAAGTGATTCTAATCAATCTCTTGGGTCAGCTGATCAATGGGGCTTAATTGTAGCCTTGGGAATGATTGTAATCTGCAATGCTGCTGCTACCTTTTCCTTGACTTAACTGATGTTTTCTTGTTGTGTTTTAACTAGTGAAACCAAAGCCTCCATGAGCACAGACATAGAAGCACTCTGGTGCTATCTATTAAAGGATAAATTAGCCACTTATGGTGCTAAGAACAACGCTACTAGCTTTGTCTCTTTAATTCATGTACTTCAAGGCATTTTAGTGTAGTGTTTGAACTGCTGTGCTAATTGTAATAAATGTTTTTCATTCCTTTCTTTGTTGCTTACCTTTCTCAAAATAGAGATACGTGGTGAGTTTGTTTGGATTTTTTTAAATATCACAAAATGTGTTTTGTAGTGTACATTTTGTTAGATTTGCATCCTTTGTGCTCATTGTTCGAGTGTCACACTGCTAAGCATTGTACCATCCCTCCTAGTGTACTGTCAGCATCCATCGTTGATTTCTGTCTGAACACTTGTGTTTATTGATCCGCTGGACTCATTCCTCCATTCACTGCATGTTTTTGTTGTTGACCACATTCTATAACTAATGATTTCCTATGTGTTTCCACATCCTGTAAAGAAAAAGGCAGTAATAATACTTGAAAAACTCATTTTTGCATCCTGTCCAGGCCACCAAGACCAGTGAATATCACCAATGACTACTCACTCTCCCACTCCATGCCTACATCAGGGAACCCTTACTCCACCAAAAAGTGAGTAACAAAAGCAGTAACAATGAGTGTCCTGGATTTTACAACTTGTCTTTTCAATGTGCTGTGCTCCCTAAAGGCCTCATGCCCTGTATAGTCTGTGACCTCCTTTATTTTCTTGCTTTTATTTTCTTTTCTGTGGTCTCTTCTGCTGAATGTAAATGCTTGCCTTACAGCAAGAATAATGATATTGAGCAAAGAAAGCCACTGACTGGGGCTGCTCCCCATCTGTTGAAAGGGAGAGGGTAAGTGACACGGGTGTGCATATAAGAATGCTTTTGTAGCTCAAATGCATGTGAGCTAATGTAGATAATAATCCTAGCGCATAGACTAGAGTGCTAAGGAAACTCTTATCATCTTATAGAGGGGTTTACATCTTTGTTCTCAAGAAGACACTAGAAGAAGCATGCATCATAAAGATCATTGGCGATTAGTTGGGAGTGTCTACTGTGGTCTTTTTAATTACATGGAAATGGAAATTTACTAACTGAAAGTTTCTAATGTAAGCTGCTTTGAATGTTACCTTCAGTGTCCACTACTGTATATTCAAGTTGCATCTGTTATATAGTATACATTCCCAGGCTCATTATTGATTATGTGTGTGAATAGGTATACCTATTTAGGTTAAAGGAGAAACTTGTTGTTTTTCAGTTGCTATTTATGTTGTATTTTGGACAATGAAAGTATTGTTGATCCTGATACTTTTAGTAAAAATCTGTTGAGCTCCTCTGCACCTGCATCTGATAAAAAGGGGTTTTTAGGGAACACTTTCATAACCCAGACTTAGGGAAAAACATACAGATGAAATGATGAGTGAGTGGCATTCTTTGGGTTATTCTCGATATGCGTGTCAAAGCAGCTGACACTGCAGTTGTTGTTAGAACATGCTGGGAAACTACAGGGCTTTCAGGTGATGTGCCCTCTGGAGGTTGACAGACACTTCCATAACCGTGACTGAAAAGAATACCTGATTACATTCCTAAACTGTACTTAAAGGTTTTGACTTTAAGTGGGGATATACTGTATACAGTGAGGGGTAATACAACGATTTAGTATCACACTTCCATAAAGTTGGGGGACTTGTGATACATGTAGCCTACAAATGTAAAAAACTGTGGTCAAAATCAATACCAGTATATCCTGACTTAAAATGTTGGTCGAGCTCAAAAAACCCTGGATCTTAAACTTCACATACCATAACACATCTTAAAGCTGCAATAATTAATTATAAAACCATTCGTATCATATTTGATACGTGAGGTTTCTGAGCAAAAAAAATCGCCAAAAATGCCCCATGTATCAAATGTGATACAAAAGAAATAGAAATAATCTAAATAATATGGCACCTTTATTCCTATATGCCTGGACTGTCTGTCTATGCATATATGGCAAATAAAAATCGTGAATCTTGAATTTCGAATCATGAATTATATTTTGGATTTTGTTGAAAGGTTTAATAAACATCTCAGTTCCAAAAATTTAGAATGTTCTGGCTATTTTTTGATATGTTGGGCTTTACAGGGTTAATATGTTTATATTTAGAATGGATTACATGTGTAATGTGGAAGGGCTTGCTCATTATCACCATAGGCCATTGTTTAGGTTTTATGGTACACAGCTTGATTATTCTGGCTCACTCTCACCCCTTTCATCAACCTCACTTGAGTTGCAGCAGACAACGTTAAGTGAACATAGTGGAGAATTTTGTGGATGAAGAGTCAGATCAGGAGTTGGTGAAGAAGCAAAACAGAGCTAAAAGGAGAGTTTAACTTAAATTTATTAGGTGGCCATAAAAATAAATGCTAATGTTGCTCTGTGTCTACTAGGCAACAGTTTACTAACACTTTATGCTGATAGGTCTGTTGGATGGTTTGACTGCCTCATTCTCTCTTTTTTTGGTTAATTGTGCTGCAATCGTCAGTGACAGTTGGCATGGTTGCTACAGTACATTATAGAAGTTGGTGATGCAGATAGAAAGCCTCAATAAATATACAACAGGAGCTACCGTACATGCCTTGGTAAATTGTTTTACTTAAAAATAATGAATTTCAATAGTTTTAATAATAGAGCACCGAGTGATTGATGCTTGTAGAATATAAAGAGTGCATGCAAAGATGCTGGGCATGTCCTTAATCATGGTCCTAGCCTGTGTCAGTGGAGTCTCTCCCAAACATAACATGACCTTGTTTCTGTCTAGTCACCCATGAATTGCTGCTTTTCAGCCACTCTCCTCCTCCTCATCATCTTTTGTTGTGTTCCCTCCCATTCTCTCAGCTTTCTCTTTCGTCCTCTGTCCCTCTGTTGTCACCTGTGTAATGTTATGTTTTATGTTTTGTGAAACCTTGCACTGTTCCAGGTTGAACTACAACCTCGATGTTGCTGATAGACTTGCTGACGAACATGTTCTGATTGGCTTCTATGTGAACCTACTACAAAACAACCCCAAAACATGGTCAGTTGGTGTGGAAAACATGTTGCTGAAGTGCCACCTCACAATCCTAACCTTATACTGAATGTGTTACAGTCTTAAAGCTGCATGTGGCCAATTTTACAGACATCATCCCGACCTTCAACAGTTGTATCAACATATTATTGCTATTAAGCAGCAATAAGTGTCTGATTTGTATCCACAATGGCTTGTTTTTACCAAGAGAACAGTACAGATTAGATATGTGTTCAAGTTGAAACTAAATTTTTCATATTTGCGTCCTTACAATAACACAAGCACCTACCCATATAATGTTAAATTTCCCACTTGTCTCAGTCATGTAATGTAAAGATAGCCTGACATTTGTCCCAATATATTGTGTAATTTCAAATGCTTATAGCACTTCAATTAGTTTTACTGGTACCAAACACTTTTAGCTGCTGTTTTTCTCAGATTTGACCGCCTCTTTAAAGGGTCACCTCTCAAATACATTTTCTGTGTTTGGTCCTGTTAAAGTGTGTCACTCTAAAGAAGGCTGATGTGTACTGTGCTCATGTTATTACTAAGAACATATTCTCTCCCCTTTGAGTGTGTGTGCTAACATGCTTGTGTGTCATTAAATCCCATCTATCATGTGGGTTACCAGTCTTATGTATATCATTCTGCGACCTCACCCCCCCAGCCCCCTCCAACCTCATATTTGGGTGTCACAGGGGCCTCTGCTGTTGGAATAAAACCTATCAGGCTTTTTGGAGTAATCAGATTCTTGAACAAAATAAACTTATAAATGTGGACTTTTTGCATTTTCCTTCATATTTCGTTTCCACGTAGCTGTGTATTAGCTGTGTCATATTGTGACTCCCATCTCTATTTTCCTCTTGATCAGTTTGCTGGAGAGCAGTAACCATCAAGATGAAGAGCACAGTCTCATCGCCCGCTATGCTGCTAGACTGGCTGCTGATGCCGCGGTGAGATATATTATATCTAAGACATTTATTGCACACAAAATTATAGCTTTCATTGACGTCCAGTGGCAAAAATCTTTCTTTGATGAAATGAAGGCTTAGCATATACTGCTTTTCACTTTAGGAGGCTTCCTGTTCTTTTTTTATTGCTAAGGTGAAGATGGACTTTATAGGTGCTGATCATTTCTAACCAAACCTGAATGCCAGTTCATGCTCAGGTCTTGATGGATGCCTGGTGATTTAACTGTTTTGCTCCCCTCTGTGAAATATGAGATAAGGTAGTAGATGACATCACCCAGAGGTAAAGGCAGTTGTCTCTTGCTTGGTTTCACCGGCAGGCTCAACAGCAGAGGGTCCCCACAGACCTGCCCTGCTCTCTGGATGCCAACAAACAGCAGAGGCAGCTCATTGCAGAGCTTGAGAGCAAAAACAGGTTAGGGATCACTGCCTTGGTGATACAGCTTTTTTTTCTCCATTTCTTTTTTCATTTCCACAACAAGAAAGTCGCCTTTAACATTAAGGGATTTCTGCTCTGACAATAAAAAAAACAACCTGAACTAAAAGCACAATTATTACTAAAAGCTATTATGATTATAAAATTAAATATTGGCCAAAATATGACTTTTCCTTACAAAATATTAATATTTTCATGGTGGTAACTAACTGTATATATGCAAAATATAGGCCAACAAATAGCAGGTAATTTATTTGCACAATTTGAACACTTTACAGCTCATAGCTTATACTGTTCACATGCAACTTTATGGAGTTGTATGAAAGGCGCTATACAAATAAAGACTGATTTACAGATTGCATAAAAAAGCTAAATAAAAAGGAACAAGAGGATTTTACACTGAAACTACCCACAGATGTAAACGTTATAAGTATAATAAATAGTGAAACCAAAGTAGAGGCACGTCACTTCACATTGATTAAATCAAATCAAATCAAATCAAATTTTATTTGTATAGCGCCAAATCACAACAAAAGTCATCTCAGGACACTTTACAAAGTAAGGTCTAGACCTTACTGTTATCAATATTATTACATAGGGAAAACCCAACAAATCCCCCTTGAGCAAGCACTTGGCGACAGTGGGGAGGAAAAACTCCCTTTAACGGAAGAAACCTCCGACAGACCC